TATGCTCACTGCTTTGATAAATAATCATTTGCATTTGGAAAGAGGAAAAATCAAGTAAAGCATAATTGAAGTCTGATACCACTTGGGAAATATGGTCATAAATGTGAGAATGTTAAGATGGTGCAGGGGACCCTAAAAAAAATCATTCTTGTGGCAAGCACACTGTGTATTTTATCTGCAGATTCCCAGACGAGCTTCATGAGAGAAAACACGCTGGGGTCACAAGTCATGTGTATTTTCTGCAAAATGAAATGCATCTTCCATCTGAGGGTACTTTTTAGGAACAAAGCATTTGGAGAAATAGCTGTCTTGTAGCTGCTTTAATACTCAACCAGGAAGATAATCAAAATTTAATGACAAAATGCTGGATAAAGAACAATGGGGAGAATGAGGTTCTTTACTCTTTAAATAATCCATCTTGCATTGTTTTAATGCAACTGCAATTAGCCAGAGAAGAAAGTTTGGGACTATCTCGTCCCATTTTCAAAACTTACCAATAGCACATATTATATGCAAATAATGCTTGGTATCATTCTAAATACTTCCGTGTATTCTTTAGTTTTATTCCCCTTGAGGTGATGGGAAAGGGCGTTATTTTTGCAAGTGAGGAAGCTGAGGGAGGGAAATGTCCTGCCAGGGCTGACACAGCCGCTTAGTGACAGCATTGGATTGGAAGGCAAGTTTGCTGAACACCCATGTAGAAGAGCCAAGGTCACATCGCCCGTTATGTTAGTTCCATACTGGTCGTCAGCTTCCAGGCATTCCCGGAATCCATGAAAAGTGTATTTTCGATTGAGATCCTACTGATTAATTGTGCTCCTCGTTAGAGCCCAAGAATGCCATATTTAATTTTAAAAAAGGGAGGTTTACATGTAAATGCAGACAACGCCTTGCATAAAAGCCTCCTGCCTTGAATTTCTTGTAACACCTCTCTTTCAAAGACCTAAGGAAACTTTGCAGTCGCTTGCTAATCCTCCCAACAGGCCTGTGAAAGGCCCAGTGGGCAGTTTTAATTATGCCTGGTTTACAAATAGAAAAACTGAGACGCAGATGGTGAAAAATGAAGCTGAGTAAGGGGTTTTCCCAGAACCACCCAGCCTGGCCTGTCGGGCCCAGGCCACTGCCTGCCAGGCCTGCACCTTCTCCACTTGACCGCAGTTTCTGAGTAAGAGGCTTCAGGCAGCAGATGATCGTTGAAGGCTCTGGTGTGTCTCGACTGCAATACACAGATACTTGGAGAGGTCGTAAAATAAAGGGCTCTACGCATGGGGTTGTTGTGAGGGGTAAAGGGTATGTACGGAAAATGTTTGGCACCAAGGAGCTGACAGGTGGTCTGGGTGCAAGAAAGGGTAACAGGGAAATTGGTCTCTGCCTGAAAAGAAATGAAGCTGCTCATGTAGATACTTAATATTTATGAAAGAAAGGAAGGAAAAAAGAAAGAAGCGAGAGAGGGAGAAAGCTTTGTAAATGGGAAATCTGGCTTCCTACTCTTTTCCTGGGACTTGTTAGAGCTTGTAAAATGGTTTTATCTTCTGTAACATGAGGGTTTGGTGGTCGAAATATCATTTGAACATGTAAATTTTGGACGTGGCATTTCTTAACACTGTCCTTAATATAAGTCAATGTCCACCTCACTGTGCAGACTTCTTTGCTTACATTACCCATAGTTACTTCAGTCTAACCAATGAACTTTGTGCAGACACAGTCTATCTATGATGGCTTGTTTCAACTTTAGTAAAAGAACGGAACAACAAGCCCTTTGAAAAGTAACTAAGTAGGTTTGACTATATTGCAACAGTCCCTCACTCGCCTGTCATAAACCAATCCTTTTCTACTTTCTACTCCTTTTCTTCATTATCTCCCCGAACCAAACACCTTTCTCTCCGACATACCAACTGCAGCCACAGACATTGTGATGTAGGTAGGGCCTACAATTAAGATTCTGAAAACTTCTCTTGGCCAATTGAAAGAAAGATATTTAAAAATTCATGGAATTCACTGGCTGTTTGGCTTTCTTTATGGCTAAATTCAATCTTCCACCCCTCCATTCTAACACAGAGCCCCTGACCACTGAGGAAGCCTCGAAATGGTTGTCTGTCTTCAGGTTTGTCAGACTCAGTCGCCCTGCTCAATAGGATACTATTAGCAATGTCGACATTAAAAAGCAATGAGCAAACATGCTTTATTGCTTAAAAGGAGGGATTGCTAAATATGGAAAAATTGAACTGCTTTTAACCTTGCCTAGGTAGTGTATACAACTATTCTTTCAATGTTTAATCCCATTATTTAATGTGTGAAAATAAATAAGAATGGGCTGACAGACGTGGCAATATAATATCCTTTAATCTGCAGTTCACAGGGCATTTAAAAATAATAATTTTGAAAGGAGCATTTGAAAACATTTGATCTTAAAAATGCATATTTTGCTTATTCTAGTGTTTGTTGATTTGAAGGCTTTGAGGTCAGCCCAGTAAATATTCAGTTTGCTTGGCACAAACTGTGCAGGAATCTAATAGAAAGCAATATTGTTGAAAATGGATATCAATTGAAAACAGAGAGCAGTGTCAACTGTCCCCCACTGGGAACAGACAACAATAAAACCAGTCAAGCATTACACAGCCGAGCCTGCCAAATGTCATTAGAGTGGAGAAAAAAGGAAAGGAACATGGTAGGGAAAGAAGCACTTTGCTTTATTTTTTTTCCCTCCAATTTAAAAAGACAAAAAAATAGGGAGAAAAACAAGCCGGGGAGGGGTAGAAGGAGAACATTTGAAGAATAAGGACAATAAAATTGTCCTAAAATTGTCCAAGCCAGTGTCACCATTATCTTAGGCCTGATATATCCCTTCCCTCCTTCAAATGATTACGGTATAAAGATTTTCAAATATTTTCTCTGTCTCTTCAACTGATCATTTTCTCCCAATGACTGTCTAATCAGGTGCATTTGCAATCATCAAGTTCCCAATTTGTAAGCCAGCATTTGTCATGTCGTTCATAAAAATCATGTTTCTATCATCATTTAATGAATTGATCTGAGTTCATATTGAAAAGAAAAGGTTTTATAAATGTAAACTTTTTCACTGTTACCACCAGGCTTCAGTGGAGAGCCTTTCAGAAGGAATGGGCTGCAAAGAATATCTGTGGGTGAAAAGAAATGTTTACAGTAGCTCTAAAATCTGTTACATGCTAGGAATGTAGAAAATTAATCATTGGGCAATGGGCAGGGGGGACAGACACATCACCACCACCATCCCCACCTGAAGGCAGAACTGGGAGCCAGTGACTTAGCCCCAGAGCTTCTGCTCTATCTATGGCATTTTCATTGATGATTTGTAAATTTTCAAACAAAGAAAAATTGTCTCCTACAGACAATGGTCAAGCCTCTGAACAGCCAGCCAAGAGCTCCCCCTAGTGAGGTTGCACACATATCAGAATGAGCTTCCCACTTCTGTGCGTACACACACACACACACACACACACACAAGCGCGCGCACACAGTCTTAAACCTGACTCTTTAGTACAAAATGTTGTCCAGGTCCACATTCTTTTAAAGCAACATGAAAAAATATCCCCCAAACTCTCCTGACTGTTCCTCCTACTCATTGTTAAACCCCACACTCAGCAGTAAAGAGCCCAGTGAGGACTCCCTTAAGGAGAAACTGTCATTCTGATCATATCATTTGGAAATAGTAATAATCACATATTGGCTCCAAATCTGCATCCTCAAGTAGATGCTATCAATGTAGAAAGTCCTCGGGGGCAGCATATTACCATGTAATTAGCATAATAACTTTGTTGTGTAAACAAAATAAAAGACAGGCTTGAATCTAAGAAATATATCTTACACTGTACTGGTATCTACAGCTTCTGGAGAAAAATCTATTGTCCTTGCTGGTCTTCCGTTTTGTTGCCGCATTACTGGGATAAGCACCTACTGACCCGTGCAAGCAGCTTCCTATGTACGTGTGCAGCTTTAGCACACGTGCGTACACGTGCCCATGTATTTTATTGCAGAACAATATACAGAACACTCATCCTACTCATATTTAACGGAACTAATTTGCTATAACACCAGCATTGCATCTCCCAGACCAACCCTAATTCCTTCAAGTACATTTTGGCTTCCTCCAAAAAGATATTTTATTGGTTTTATGAGCCTTGCTAGGGCTCTGAAGGGAGAATAGGCATTCTTTGGGGGAAAGAAGGTAGCAAATGTAGAAATCAGACACGGAGATGAAAGGGGTTTAATGTCTTCCTAAAAATTCTTTGAGAGCCATATCAACGTTTTTAGTAAAATACAAATGACTGCCAGTTTATAATTAACAGCTGCTTGCGTTAAGTATCCAGTGCTTCCCGGCGCCTGGGTGGCTCAGTTGGTTAAGCAACTGCCTTCGGCTCAGGTCATGATCCTGGAGTCCCTGGATCGAGTCCCGCATCGGGCTCCCTGCTCAGCAGGGGGTCTGCTTCTCCCTCTGACCCTCCCCCCTCTCATGCTCTCTCTATCTCATTCTCTCTGTCTCAAATAAATAAATAAATCTTAAAAAAAAAAAAAGTATCCAGTGCTTCCTAGTTCCTACTAATTTTTTTTTCCCTTCTTAAACCATAGATCCACAAGACAACTGATCAGAGCTCTAAGATGCTAAAGGTGACTCTATCTCCCCGGGAGTCTAACTCTGGAATGCAATTTGTGGGATGTTTTATATATTGATGCTCAAGCCTTGAAATCCTCTGACATCAAAACAACACAGGGTACAGTATTTTTTGGGGGGGAGTGTTACTTTCATCATCAAGATTCTTGGAGTAAAAATATATACATATGTAAAAGTAAATTTAAATAAACCCCTGGCTTTCAGATACTACTACTTACCTCCCAGAAAGATGGTGACAATTAATGCTAAAGTCTTCGCAAAGCTTTGGTGGAACACTCTACCATATGAATAAAAACAGTAAAATTTTTGTTTTTGTTACAATATATTCTAGGGAATATTTTAACAAGCTTACCTAGTATACTCAGATCTTTGTTCTTTCCAGGACTCTTACACCACCTTCAAACAAAAAGAGACCAGGTAAGAGATTGGGGTGGGGTGACGGGAAATATTGCATAACTAAGCCACTCATATGGGACAAATGTGTCTGTCACCGATTTTACCACCACTCGCTCAAATGATTAGGGCCAAAACTTCACTCCTATAAAGCCCATATCAATGATGAACTGTTCGCTGTTGGACTGTGGGTATATAACTCAGCCTGCAAAACTGATTTTCTTCCCTTATAAAAGGGGGAATTATAATGTTCAACACCTCCCTGAATCAAAGGGAAACCACTATACAGAGAACTGAAATTAGACCTATTATGTTAATTAAAATTCTGCCAGCATCTCTGAAAGTGTAATTTGGCCCAATGTGTTTTAAAAAAACCAAAACATCATGAAAATTAGCTAATGAATATTGTGCAGTCACTTCCCTAACATAAAATAACTCAACCATTTAAATTGCACAAATTCCAAAATGGTCTAATTTACAATACGTCGTTGTTTGCTTGTTTGTTTTAGAAGTGCTTAACCTAATAACATGGTGAGATTGTATTTTTTTTTAATTCCAATCTTTTATGAAACAACAAGAGACTCATGGTTGAATTTTCCTATGAGTTTTGTTCCTACAACCCTAAATATTTAACTCTGACAATACTTACTCCTGCTTAAATTTATTATTCAGAATTTGATTCTTTCGGTTTTCACTAGGTTGAAAGTCAGGAGTCTTAGGCTTTTGAGCCAATGCTGACAGTTACCCATCATTTGACCTTGAGCGAGCCACTGTGACCTTGGACTCTTGGCTTCTTCATCTGTAAATTATGGGTAACAATATTGACCCCGCTAGCCTCATGGGGTCGCTGTGAGAATTAAATGAGATGACACAGGTGGTAAGTGTTTTAAATATTAGAAAGTGCTAGACAAATCTATGCACTGTTATTTTGAAAAGTAATATCTTAATCAGTCAATGAATATGTAATCATCTTTAAAACTTTCTCCAATTTCAATGGTTCTTTTCTTTTTCTTTCTTTTCTTTTTTTTTTTTAGAAAACCATGTATGTTGAGTTATTTATCTGCAGAGATTTATTTTTTAAAAACAATTCCTGGTACCATTGGAACCTTCGTTTGGTATCTACCTTTGTTCCAGTCAGTCTTTCCTCCTCAGAATTGTCCCCCAAATTGTATGAAGCACGGACCATATATATAACCATTGTGCTCCTTTGGTTTGGGTTCTCCTAGGCTAAAAAGTGTTGTCCAAGGGGTTTTCACTGAAGAATTTGTAGAGAGGGTTCCATCGCCACCAGATAAAAGCTCTGCCTCCCCTTGACTCCATCATAACACAAATGGAAGAATTAGCCCCCAGATGCATCCCTATGTTAAAAGTGCAACCACGCAGAATACTATTCAGCACTAAAAAGAAATGAATTACTGACATACACAACAACATGGATGAATCTCAAATACATTTATACTAAATAAAAAAGCTAGACTCAAAAAGCTGTATGTTGTATGATTCCATTTACATGACATTCCACAAAAGGCAAAATTATGGAACAGGAGACAGATCATCAGTTGCCAGGGGCTGAGGGTGGAAGGGAAGGGACTGACTACAAAAGGGCAGCAGGAAATTTCTGCAAGTGAGGGAACTGTGCTGTATTTTGGTTATGGCAGTGGTTACATGATGGCATGTCTGTCAAAGCTCATACTAAAAAGGAGGAATTTTACTATATGCAAACTATAGCTCAATAAATCTGACATTTAAAAAAAATTATGGAAAAGTCAACATGAGTTTGTTACCCTGCTTGGATTGTGACTCTTCCTGTAAAAGCAAATTGTATTTCCATGGCAATTCAAACTGTTTTCTCATAAGATGAAGTCATATTAAGATAATCAAGGTACTTAACCGACTATGTTTAAACTTTGAAATAAAATTTTCATTCCGTATCTATCACAACAGTGATTAATTACAAGAGTCCAAATAGTGTATTTGTCTTACAGTGATCACCGTTTCATTTTTATTGTTTTCCAATTGGGAAGAAAGAATTTCAAGTCTTAAGCTAGTTATATAGATTTTACCTCCCCTCCATCCTCATCTAGCCCTTAGAGAATTGTTTATAACCGTTTATAGGTGTAGCTCATAGGAATGGGAGTATGAACCCTCATATGCAGTTGTCAGTCAAAAAATTTAGCTGGTTACAAGAGGACCTCACTTAAATTGAATTCTGAGCAAAATAAGGACCTGGATATAGCTCATGAAAGGGCTGTAAAAGGAGATTTTAAAACAGAACAAGCAAACCTAGCTCAGAGAGTCTCTTTTTAAAATAGGGTCGGGAGGCCATTCAGGAGGAGGAATTTATGCATGTCCTCATCGGAGAGAGATGTGAACTTTTTAAAGACCTTTCAGCCAGCTTCAAGCCCTTATCCTGGACTTAACCTCCTCCTCACCAGGACACCTGACTCCCTGGCACTCTGCACTTTAAAAGGAGCCAATTCGATCTAACAAGTTTCAATCCTTCATTTGTATATAAACTCAACCAATCCCAGTGAGTTCTCCCTGAAGGAGAACTACCCTCAAAATCTTTGCCTATACATACACCTCTGCCCCCTCTCTGTCTTCCTCTGAACACAATTCATATTTCTACCTGAATCTGTGGCTCCTGATTTGCAATTCTAATTGCCCAAATAAATGCCTCTTTGCTTAAAATTTTCAGTGAATTCTCTCGGTTGACAGCGCCCCAAAAGGGCAAATAAAGCGAATGAATCAAAAAGAGCCCCTAGAATTCAGTGAAGAAGTGCAACCCATGTACTATATAGATGTGCTGTTAAATATTCGTACTGGAAATCTTTCTTTTGAAAGATCAGGGTGCAGCTTTCAGCTGCAATGATGTTATTTGCATATCAACCAAATTAAAGCATTTATAAAACAGGCAGAGGGGTCAGTAGGCAGCTCCTTCCCGGGACACGGTTGCTGCAGTGGCTTGGGGGGGAGGGGGAGGTGCATCTCTGGAGTGGGGAGGAGTTGTGAGCAAAGAATCTCACCTCTCCGTATCCCCATTCCATTCCTTCTGTTGTAAAATGCCATATAAAACAATGCCCGAACAATCTATGGCTGGAAACACAATTATTTGCAGGTGTCTCAAAGCCATTTCGACTCATTCACTCTTCCTTTCACCTCATTGACATTAGTTTAATCTGTGAAAATCAGATCACAATTATGCCAGACTTTTTACCTCATTAGTTTTCTATTGTCTGTTCTGAGGCACTGCATACATTTTTACCTCCAGGCGAGATTGGTTCTTGTCTGAACTCGCTTCTATCCCTTCCCCCTCTTCATTCTTACGAGTAAGAAACACGTTTAATCCAATAATTTAACTACTTCTGGAGCTAATCTGGAGAGATTTCACCTGCATTTTTTTTTTAAACTGGCAACTTTGGGCTATAGACATGTTTCTGGTTGTTATCCCAATCATGCATGAGATACATACATGAAACACCCAAACCTCCAGGATTTGCTCTCTAGACAAACAGCAATTCTCTGTAGATAGCAAATTATATTAAATACATATAATTCCATTTTTCCATTGTGTTAAATCACAGCAACGTCATTTTCTTGGTAAATTTGTGTCTCCTGTGTGCCTTTATTACTGTGCCTGGAAAAGCATTACCTAGAATTATTTAACTACATTTAGATTGGGGTTAAGGCACTCCCTTTGTACAGCCAGATCCATGGTATCAGACCAGGGACATCAGTGAGAGTATGGAGCTGTTTTCTGCAAACCCTTGAATTTAACCATTTAAGGTTACAGTGATTTTTTACTTCTCAGGATGCTATTCTATACACGTAAGTAGGTAAGATGTGGAAATTTCTTGTCAACTAATTATACAACAAGACAATGTGTCTCTTTCATATTTTGGCTACCACTCTGCTTACAAATGATTTTGATACATATTTGAGGCTCTCAAATCTAATTTTTTGATTTGGGGCTGAGGGACAGTTGCTTTAGCCCTCAGAAATTGGGGTCAATAAAGAAAACTGCTAAGAGTTATTTGCACAGGGGCGCCTGGGTGGCTCAGTCGTTAAGCGTCTGCCTTCAGTGGAGGTCATGGTCCCAGGCACCTGGGATCAAGCCCCACATCAGGCTCCCTGCTCCGCGGGAAGCCTGCTTCTCCCTCTCCCACTCCCCCTGCTTGTGTTCCCTCTCTCGCTGTGTCTCTCTCTGTCAAATAAATAAATAAAATCTTTAAAAAAAAAAAAAGTTATTTGAGCAGCTACATATTTCAGCATTAGCTCTGCTATGAACTTTTCAAGAAATCTAAGTTATATTTACAGAATGTCATGAACTGTTACATCCATTGTTTATTTCCTTATTGAATATCAGCAGAAATTATCTGCTATACCGAGAAGCGTCAGATCTCCTGACTAAACAACTTTTCTTCCTTTGGGGAAAAAATAGTAATAATAACCTTTGATTGTGTAAGAACATCATAATCCACATTGTCATTCCTGATTCAGCCCATGCCAAGAATACAGGACAATTTACATATGCTTTAATCAAATATTTGGGGGCTGGGGAATCTCACTGCGTATCTCTGGATCAAGATTATGTGACATGCCTTGGATTCCAGCCAGGTTTGAGGCTCTTCATTTTTAAAACAATAACCACCTGCTAAAAGAAGAAAGAAAGCCATTTCCTTCTTGACATTCGTTAGCTTAGGATCAGCAGAATCTTCCCGCTGCTCAGACTGAAATGTAATAGCTGCAAGGTTGAAAACTGAAATCTTGCACTAAGCACTTCGATGCTGCTGGCTTGTAATTTTTTTCTCTTCAAAAATTACATACACAAAGCAGTTTTAGACTCTGTAATCAGATATTTTGCCTCGTACTACTGTGTGATTTGGGATGTTTCTTTTTTTCTTTTCTTTCTTTTTTTTGAGAGAGAGAACCAGATCCGCACAATCCATGCTTTCAGAGAATGTGCGTATGCTACACAGGACACTAGCCCCTCACTGCTGTGT